TCTCTCCGTCCATTCTTCCGTATATCATCACGGCCACTTCCACCAACGAAGCCTGGACGATTCTTGAACGTCGCCTTCAACCGATCAGCCGCTCGCGGGTAATTCAACTCAAAAACGAGCTTTACCGGGTTCAAATGAAAGACATGCCGATGCAACAATACCTTACAAGAATCAAAACTATTGTGGACAATATCTCCGCATCTGGCTCAAAAATCGACCCTGAAGATGTGATGCTTCATATATTAAACGGCCTACCTCCCACCTTCAACTCGTTTAAATCTACAATTCGAAACTCACTCCTTCCAATTGACCTTGACACCTTCTACTCCCTCCTATGCAACGAAGAAATTCACTTGCAACAAGAACTAATTCAAGACTCTAATCAACAATCAGTGGCCACGGCTTTATACGTGAATTCCTCCTCGAACTATCGCGGTAGGAACAACACCAAAAGATTTAGCAAAATCAAGACCCCGCATCCACCGACAGCACCTCAATCCAATCCACCCGCTCCGACCAACAATTCCCGGCCAATCTGCCAGATATGTGGCAAACCTGGCCACGTCGCGCTGAATTGCTGGCATAGGTGCAATTTCAAATATGCACCAACCGACACCAGACAACCTCGAGCACTTCTTGCCACCCCCACCTCTCCAGCCAGTCAGGACTGGGTTCTTGACACCGGGGCATCAGCTCATCTCACACCGGATGCCTCTCAGCTCTACTACCCGCAAGGATACCAAGGCTCCGACACGGTATCCACCGCAAATGGATCAACACTCCCGATTCATCATACAGGATAAGGACTGCTTCCTCTTCCGGACACGTCTCGTAAGCTAACTCTTCGCAAACTCCTACACGTTCCGTCGCTTACTCATAATCTCATTTCCGTGTCTAAGCTAACGACTGAAAATTCCATTTCGATTACTTTCGATGCTAACGGCTTTCTTGTGAAGGATCTTCGGGACCAACAGCCCCTACTACATGGTCAACTTCGTAACGGACTATATAGTCATCGCATTCCTCCGGACAACAGCCACACTGCTCTAACTTCGACCACCTCCTCCCAGCACGATTGGCATTCCCGCCTCGGACACCCGAACAAGGATACTCTTTCTGTTCTTGCTTATCTTTATCCTGAAATCTCAATTGTATCTTCTTCTTTCATTTGTAATTCCTGTAATCAGGCGAAAAGCCACAAATTACATTTCAATAAAAGCATTTCGGTTACTAAGGCTCCCTTTGAATTAATTCACACGGACGTCTGGGGTCCGGTCTCGCAAGCTTCTCTCGACGGATATCATTACTACATCATCTTCATCGATGATTATACGCGTTACACCTGGCTATACTTTCTTTACACAAAACAAGAAGCTCTCTCTAAATTCAAAAACCTCTGTAACTTAATTCGCACTCAACACCACACCACCCCTCAGATTCTTCGTTCTGATGGCGGAGGTGAATTCACCAGCCATGCGTTTAAAAATTTTCTTCAAGATAATGGTATAATTCAGCAGCTATCCTGCCCCCACACACCCGAGCAAAATGGTCTCGCTGAACGTAAGCATCGACACCTCCTCGATCTCACCCGCGCCTTACTTCATGAATCCGGACTCCCACATAAATTCTGGGCTGAAGCAATCGGTACAGCCAATTATTTAATCAATCAACTCCCATCTAAAGCCATCTCAAACCAAATCCCTTATCAGAGACTTCATGGAAACTCGCCGACCTATGCTCATCTACGGACTTTCGGTTGCCTGTGTTATCCCTGGCTCAAACCTTATGCTCCGGATAAACTATCCCCACGCTCTCAGGCCTGTGTCTTCATCGGATACTCTCACACACATAAAGGGTACCGATGTTACAATATTAAATCCGGCAAAATCTACACGTCAAGGCATGTGGTCTTTCACGAACGGCAGTTTCCTTTCAAGAACATCACAGCAAGGGACCCTCACTTGGTAAACTCTACACCTCTCATCATGCCTCCCTCTATGCTCATTCCCTCATCCATTTCCTCTCAGCACCCGGTTGCCAACCCTGTTCAACAGCCTCTCAACACTTCAGCCAACATCAACACAGCTCGCCTTCCAACTGATTCTCTAATCACTGACTCGGCTCGTGATACTCCTCAACACATTGACTCTCTGGCTCCCGTTCCCATCCAGCGACCTTGCCACCCGATGACCACCCGCTTGAAATCAGGAATTAGCAAACCACGACAGATTCTCAACCTTCTTACTCACACCACTCCCTCCGACACACCCACCACGTACAATCAAGCCTTAAAATCAGAACATTGGCGCAAAGCAATGGTTGCAGAATTCGAAGCTCTTAAACAACAAGCAACTTGGTCCCTCGTCTCACCACCACCCAACAAACCGGTTCTTGGCTGCAAATGGACGTTTAAAATGAAACTTCTGCCCTCCGGGCAAGTGGATCCATACAAGGCAAGGTTAGTTGCTCTTGGGTACAATCAACAATTCGGCATCAATTACAACGAGACTTTCAGCCCCGTCGCCAAGATGCCAACGATTCGTCTTCTGATTACACTTGCTTTAAACCGTCACTGGCCGATGCACCAATTAGACATCTCAAACGCCTTTTTACACGGTGAGCTCACGGATGAAGTCTACATCCGGCAGCCCCCCGGGTTCGTCGATCCTCAAAATCCAACCGCAGTTTGCAAACTACATAAATCACTATACGGATTAAAGCAGGCGCCCCGGCAATGGTTTCAAAAGCTTACAAGCTTTCTTCAAACCCAAGGCTTCACATTCAGCCGATCGGATCCTTCACTCCTAATTCTTAACAATGACCAAACTCAACTCTATATTCTCATTTATGTGGATGATTTCTTAGTCACAGGGAACAATGCCGCAGCAATCCAACGCCTTCTTCAGCAGCTGAAAACTCAATTCGCTCTCAAACAACTAGGAAACGTCTCCCTCTTTCTTGGCCTCCCTCTTTCTTGGCATTCAGGTGATTCAATCCAAAACATGTCTTTTTCTTTCTCAACAACATTATGCCACTAAAATTCTTCATGATGCAGGCTTCAAGGATTGTAAGCCTGCTCCCACGTCTGTCACCCCGTCCAGCAAGGCTCAACTCACGGTCAGCCCACCGTTCCCTGACCCCTCCCTCTACCGTCAGCTAGCTGGATCGCTACAATACTTGTCAATTACGCGGCCAGACATTGCCTATGCGACAAACCGGATTTGTCAACATATGCAGAATCCAACAGAACAGGACTTCAAAGCACTCAAACGTCTTCTCCGCTACATCAACGGCACATTATCATACGGTCTACCCATCACCATTGGCGACTTGGATCTTCATTCCTACTCGGACGCAGATTGGGCTTCCGATGCCTCGGACCAGAAATCCATCTCGGGATTTTGTACTTTCCTTGGACCAAATCTAATCTCCTGGACCGTGAAAAAGCAACCCACGGTAGCCAAGTCGTCCACCGAAGCTGAATACCGCTCGCTCTCTGCTGCCGCCTCAGAAGTCTTATGGTTACGACGGCTTGCACGGGAGCTTCATCTACCTCAACCGTCACCCACTACTATCCACTGTGACAATACATCCGCGATTGCTATCGCCAAAAATCCTGTCTTCCATGCGCGAACAAAGCATATCGAGATCGACTACCACTTTATTCGCCAACAAATTAGTGCCGGTGAGATCAAGCTTGCACACATCTCCTCCAAGGATCAAGTGGCAGACATTCTCACCAAACCTTTCACCATATCTCGATTCAACGAACTCAGAAGCAAATTAACCATTCACTCTATGAATGATTAATTTGAGGGACCCTATTAGACGATATATCAAGATTTGTACCTCACGTGCTTGCTATTTACATCTTTACCTGTAACTTTTCTATTTATATACTAAGCACTGTATCATGTCGGTATGAATGGAATAATAATGTTTTCCTCTTCCTCTTCGTTCTCTGGCTTCGCTCCACTCCAATCTCCCTACTTCTCTCAATTCTTCCTCTTCTCTCAATGTGATCATTCAATTATGAGGACATTAAGGTCTCATTTGATTAGATTTATTTTCTTCGTTGTCCATTTCGATACGTCAAAATCAGTTACTGATAAATGTTTGGAAATAAGACTTAATCGTAATTACTTTTCAGTAAACATCATTTATTAGGTAGCTACGAAATTTTTTTCATATCCGCTTATTCGGTCACAAATTAGTGTTTTATATGCAAAATGTCCGATTTAACTCATCCATATTCGCACGTCGAATCAAACGTTTTCAACCTTCATCTTCTTCAACAGGTCGCACTAGAAATTACATTCCTTTCTTCTTATAAAGCTTTATATATTGTTTAGCCAGTTACTCGTACTCGTTAAGGGGTTATAGAGTTGTGTTACTTGCCCTTGCCTCTATCATTATCTTTCTACAACTTTTTCCTTTCATGTATTAAACTATAGTGGGAGTGGTTAATATGAATTTCCCTAGCTACATGGTAAAGCAGTGGCAATAAGGCAAATTGTGCATGATTTCTTAACCCTTGAAAATTAATGAGTTGGAATAGCTTTGAATTTTAAGATGTAAATCAGTATTTTAGATGAAGTTACTGTTCTACTGATTATAAAGTTGAATTATTAGATAAAAAAAATAATACGAGTAGAACTATAGAAGTAGTTTTTATTAATAAATATATTTAACAGCCAAATTAGTACTTAACAAAATCCTATGATGTATGCAGCTCATATTGATTTATTGGATGAGAGCTTTGGTCACAAAATAAGAGGTATTGGGTTCAAAACTTTTTTTTTTTTTTTTTGGGTTCAAAACATGTATGTGATGTTTGTGTGAGTTTGCCTTAATCGGCTAAATGTTCCTCTTAAAAAAAATTCATGT